TAGCGCTTTTCCTACGAAATGCAAAGAAAATTAATGAAATTTTAACCATTATTGCTGTGATTGTCATTATAAACGGTCAACACATTTGGACATTGAAGGCTTAAAAAAACACGAGCACATCTACAATAAACATCCTTTCAGTAGAGATGATTTTTCAAAAATATCGAAACGCCTCCCGGCTGAAAGAATTTGCTTTTAACCAGATCAGCAAATAGGTATAATCCAACTGTTGTTAGCGACGATACCTGTCCTATGGTGTGTGAACAACTCTCTTTAACACTTAGTTCACCGGATGTCTCGTTACCATCTAGTTATGTGACAAGTTGAGGGTGGGGGGGGGGACGCTCCATAAGATTTTATGTAAAAATTGAGTTATAGGATTTGTTCATAAAACCACCCACATACCCATAAATTCACCCATAAGCGCACAAAGAAATACGTTAACTAGAAAACGGACCAAGAGACCCACACACAAGCCCACAAACCGACCATCAGACACATACACAAGCCCACAAACCGACCAACAGACCCACACACAAGCCCACAAACCGACCATCAGACACATACACAAGCCCACAAACCGACCAACAGACCCATACACAAGCCCACAAACCGACCAACAGACCCACACACAAGCCCACAAACCGACCAACAGACCCACACACAAGCCCACAAACCGACCAACAGACCCACACACAAGCCCACAAACCGACCAACAGACCCACACACAAGCCCACAAACCGACCAACAGACCCACACACAAGCCCACAAACCGACCAACAGACCCACACACAAGCCCACAAACCGACCAACTAACCCACACACAAGTTGGGTCCATGTTGTCCACCACACGTTAAATTCAACATCAAAATATTTTCTAGACAAATAATACAAAACTTGCAACGTACATGCTGGATGTAATCGTTTAAACGACGACGCAGGGACTTCATTAAACAACAAACAATAGCTCCGCTTGTTAGTACATCAATTTAGTCATGGTATTTTTATTTGCATTACTCCGCCCTGTGTATTCGTTGAGAGATACAGAAAGAAGAAAGAAGTGAGATAGATGCGACATTAGCACTAGAATCCTGCGTCCCGACATTAAAATTTATAATTTTAAAACTTTTATTTCCGTTTTTTCAATGTTTAATACCTTTAGACAGTTTGTCATGTTTGTTTGTAGAATAAATTTTTTTGTTAAAGCGCTAATCAGAAAGACTTTTTTATTCTTTTCTTTTTGGAAATCGAATTGTGATTAACTTTATTTTATTTGAGGTTGCTGTATGTGCCGCTAGACTGAGTCTCAGTAGCTCGTTATGATCTTTCAATGAATTCAGAAAGCTATTTTAAAAAATAAATACAGCTCTTTGAAAAAAAAAATAAAGCTATTTGCATGAATAAATTCAGCTCTTTGAATGAAAAATATAGCACTTTCAATGAATAAGTAAATCTCTTTAAATGAATAAAGATAACACTTTGAATGAATACAATTGCTCTTTGAACGAATAGATATAGCACTTTGAGTAAATAAGTACATCTTTCTAAAATATTATAGATAGCTTTATGAATGAATAAACATATCTCTTTGAAAGCATAATTACAGGTCTTTCAATTAATAAATAAAGCTCTTTAAATAAATAGGTATGGGTGACTATTTATAATTTGGCATCAACACTTTACCAAGAATTATGTGATTTGTTTTGAAAGAGTTTCGAGCATTAGAAATAAATGGCTCTAAAACTTTCTACGCCCTCGATTGTTTTACCAGGAAATAAATATCAGATGCTGTTTTTTTTTTTTTGCTTCAAATGTAATTGTTGTAATTGGGCTATTGGTTAGGGTGATTGGGTTAATGACTGAACTAGAAAATTATTTTTGTTTTTTTGTGTTGTTTTCTTTTTAAGGTTAAATCTAGAGATTAATGTGTCTTTTATTAAAGGCTAAATATCTATATTTTAACATTTTGGTTGATCCACCATTTTAAATACTTGTAACCTTGTATTGATTTTTTTGATTTACCGATTTAACGCTTGGATTTTAACGCTGTACTGGGTGTTTAATGGCCTTCAGAGTGGGCAGTGATTGGAAAAGGTGTTCAATATTAACGGTCGGAATACGACACATTCCTGTTACAGTCTGCTGTGTGTCAACCTCCGAATTCTTTCAATGGATCGTCCTAGATGGTTTCACAATTCATAAACGTTCGATCGTGGCATTAAACGTTCGATCGTGGCATTAAACGTTCGATCGTGGCGTTAATGATAATTTTGTTTTAATGTTAATATATTTTAAATTTTAATAAAAACTTTTTGGTTAGTCGGGGTTCGTTTTTATGATAACTAGGTGGAGCGTGGGTTGAGGGGTGGAGTGTAGAGGGGTGGGGGGGGGGGGGCGAAGGATGAGAAGGAATAACATATGTTGTGGTTATTAAGTCTAGTTAGACCAAGTATTCAACGTTGACATGGTCCCTTATGTTCACATAGTAATGTGTTTCTGTATGATTGCCGATCGGGCTAATTGAAGCAGAATTTTAGGCTCTGGTCTTAACCATAGTCCTAATCTAGTGGTTCTTAACCTGGGTTTTATCGAACCCCAGGGGTTCGGTTAGTCACTCTAAGGTCAGGGGTTCGACGGAGGTCAAAAAATATATCGACACATTATTCACGATCGTATTTTGTGAGTGTCGAATACTGTGAACGATAGAAATTTGATGAAGGGTTCGGTAAATGCGCATATGAAACTATTGGGGTTCGGTACTTCCAAAAAGGTTAAGAACCACTACCCCAATCGCATATCTAACCTTTACCAAAATCCGAACCCTATCCCTAATCTTTATTTGAGCACTAACACCAATTCTAAAACATAACATGGGCACTAACTCATTAAGTTACTGTGTAATCCAATCGGTGATCGTACAGGTAAATCAATCAGTGACCTCTACGTTGACAAATAATCTAGGTTTATACTGGTCACAGGCTATGTTCCCTCTAAGTTGCGCATTTGCAGTCATTTTGTAAAATAAATATATCCTTGTATAAGACTTTTGGAACACCGTGCACACAAAATGCACGCTTCGCACGATCTTTTTATCCCCTTAGGAGAGAACATTGGTCATAGGTTGGTCAGAACGATCTGTAGGCACATATCTATAGAACTCAGTTTGGCTTTACCTGCTGACAAGACGTAAACATTAGGCCATTTTTAGGACACACCCGGGGTGCATCAGCCCTTGTTAGACATCCTGAAGCGGAAGTTGTGATGTATCTGGCACATCCTGGGTTTAGTGCCAATTAAATGCTAGACAGGTTCTAGTTGAGAACACCCAAGGTCAAGGAGAAAATGGTCGGCCAAAAGAGATGTGGAGAAAATGGTCGGCCAAAAGAGAGAGATGTGGAGAAAATGGTCGGCCAAAAGAGAGAGATGTGGAGAAAATGGTCGGCCAAAAGAGATGTGGAGAAAATGGTCGGCCAAATGAGATGTGGAGAAAATGGTCGGCCAAAAGAGATGTGGAGAAAATGGTCGGCCAAAAGAGATGTGGAGAAAATGGTCGGCCAAAAGAGATGTGGAGAAAATGGTCGGCCAAAAGAGAGAGATGTGGAGAAAATGGTCGGCCAAAAGAGATGTGGAGAAAATGGTCGGCCAAAAGAGATGTGGAGAAAATGGTCGGCCAAAAGAGAGAGATGTGGAGAAAATGGTCGGCCAAAAGAGATGTGGAGAAAATGGTCGGCCAAAAGAGAGAGATGTGGAGAAAATGGTCGGCCAAAAGAGATGTGGAGAAAATGGTCGGCCAAAAGAGATGTGGAAAAAATGGTCGGCCAAAAGAGATGTGGAGAAAATGGTCGGCCAAAAGAGAGAGATGTGGAGAAAATTATCGGCCAAAAGAGATGTGGAGGAAGTGGTCGGTCAACTAAAATGTAGCAATATTTTAAGTAAAATGTTAGAATCTTGATATAGTGTCGGTCGAATTGTTGAGATCGACTAGGGTCAAATGTAGGGGTCGCCTATGTCGCTAGGGTCAAATGTAAAGGTTGCCTAGGGTCAACTGTAGGGGTCGCCTAGGGTCAACTGTAGGGGTCGCCTAGGGTCAAATGCGGGGGTCGAATAGGGTCAAATGCGGGGGTCGCCTAGGGTCAAATGTAGATGTCGCCTATGTCGTTAGGTCAAATGTAAATGTTGCCTAGGGTCAACTGTAGGGCTCGCCTAGGTTCAAATGCGGGAGTCGCCTAGGGTCAAATGTAGGGGTCGCCTAGGGTCAAATGTAGGGGTTGCCTACAACTCTTCTATAAACGAATGGTCTTGTAATGACGTACATGGGTCCTAAACTCTTTGGGTCCGCAATAGACAAAGTTATGGTATGTCCTATTAGGTTCCTATTATTGCTCATCACAACCGTAACAGTCACAAAAATCACAATCACATGATAAAATCATATAATAGTCACAAAAATCACAGTCACATGATAAAGTCATATAATAGTTATAAAAATCACAATCACATGCAAAAGTTACTTAAGTCACTATACATAAGTCTCGGTCACATTAGTCACAGTCATATGCAAAAGACACAATCACATCAGTCATATTAGTTTCTTCAGTCATGTAGTACCTTCTCCTCCCCCCCCCCCAATATAAGTCACAGACACAAACGACAACCACAGTCATTAAGTCACAGTCATACGAAATGATCACGTGACGGCCCCAACAATACAGAAATAAACAACGATACTGTACTGAGTAGGTATGTGAGTCCTTTCATCTTTCTCACTGTTCTAATCAATCCTCTAAAAATATATTTTCATACCCCCCCCCCACACACACATGATCATAGATGTTTAATCCCCCACACCACATGACATACCCCCCACACACACGCCCTGCATCTCACACCTAACCTCCCGTCATTCCCATTGGCTGTTCCCCTGTCCATCACCTCTCTAGCCCCGCCCACTTCAGCATGCCCCGGTCCCAGCACGCAGACTGATAATGCCGCATTAAAAGCGGATGTGCACACACAACAAGGGACCGTAGCCCGGGAGGATGTTAATGTAATTCCTATGTGTGGGGGACACTACAGCGCCAGGTAACGTTCCATAAACTCTTTTATTGTGCTTTTGTAGTCTGGAATAACTAACAGGTTTTTTTCAGGGTTTGTCAGTGGGATTTAGCGATACGATTAGAAGGTGTAGACTCTATAACCGTAGTTGTAGGTACCTGCTTGCATGACCGTGTCCAATGGTGGTCTGTTAATTACAGTGTGTAACATCTAGTAACAGAATACGCAGGATTCTCACACTTAAGTCGTCATATTCACAGGTAATTCACAATACAGGTATTTAACCTATTATTACGGGTAATTAATATTTTCCAGTTAAATAAATGACATAATATAAAGTGTAATGACGCGAGAATTTTAGTTTTAAACATTATTTATTGGAGTGTTTTGTTTTCATGTTTTTTAGTGTCCTCGTTCGGATTATTCGCCTTGTCAAATAAAATAATAAAATCAAAAACGTATAGGTCTTTAAAACTGTGAACATAAATTACATTATAAAAACTACCCCCCCTCCTCCCCCTCGCTTTTAATGCGGGTGTGTTTGTTATTAGAATGTAATGAAATATGACAGGATTTAAAACATGTGTTATTAAACTTAGTCAGCGTGTAAGGACATGTATCACATTGATATGGCGGTGTGGCGTTTAAGAAATGGTAGTCAGATATTTGGTCTGAAAAGTTGGCACCATCTATATACCTGTGTGGTATATACGGTTAATTACTTTTATTTACACGGATGACCACAGTTTTTATATAGATGATCATAAGATTTTGGAGAGTCAATTTATTTTTCATATCGATGGTCAAATCATTTGTATGTTGGTGGTAATTTTTAAAATCATTTGAATGGTCGGTCTATTATATGGGTGGTTAATTTATTTTTATATTGATTGTTCATTACTAGTTTAACATGTTCTTTAACTGTCTATGTATCTTATTAAATTTAAGTTATAAGTTGAAGATTTCTGTTTCCACTAGGAATAAGACCTTGTTTCCTAGAACTTTGTGACAATCATTTATTTATTTTTTAATATTTTTTTTTATTGGTAAAACTTGAGTCTAGTATAAGCAAATAAAATTATTCTGGATCAATTTACAAAAATATCTGCCAGCAATCTTTTAAAAATAGATCTACATTATCTACAGATATACAGATCTACATTTTTTTTAAACTCAGATATTTCAAGTAGAAATGTGTTGAAGTTGGCTTCAACGTAAAGTTTACGTCTTGAGCTTAATGTAAAATTGGGTTCAAGTTGAGTTCAGTGTTATGAACGGGTTGTTTATGTCCAGCTTAATTGAAGCTAACACGATTTGTTAATTGCCAGGATGCTAATTAACATAACAGCAATAGCAAAAAATCACACCAATTTTAACATGAAACTTTTTAAAAAGGCGTATCATCAATTGTGCATTATTTGATAATTCATTATCAACTCAATAAGTAAAAATCCTATTACTATTATCAAACATTAAAAATTTTATTTGCTGTTTTAAAAATTTTAATTTTCCTTTTGAAACAATTCATTTTAACTATACCATCTAAAGTAATAGATTTGGTTAAGTCATTAATTTTAAGCAAATAGTTTAATTAAAATTATATAAAAAAATCTCGAAATGTAAGCCATTAATTGTAACTTTTTTTTGCAACTGCCAATTTAGAAATAATAAAATGTAAGCTAAGTAAAATTTATTTACTTGTTAAAGTTTTGATTAAAATGGATAATAATTAGCCAAATCTTTAATTAGGCCGGTACGTGTTTTAAGTAGCTGTGTGTTTCAAAATTAAATTAAGTACTTAAAAATCGACCAATATGACATTTGAAAATTAGAAAAGTGTGTGAAAATTCTGGAACCAACCAGCATATAATTGTGTAGTTAGATCTAGTTCTATGTGCTATAATCTTTTAGAACTTGCGCTAAGACAAATATGTAAAATGTAAATAAATTATCCAGCAAGTCTTGAATTTAATCCATTTTAAAACCGAAATAATTTTAAACACACTATTAAAAGAATAAAAAGTCACAATGTTTAAGAAAATTTTGAACAGATAGTATGATACTTTAAAATTAAACAGTTTGTCTTTATGAACAATATTTTAACGTATCGTCTAATAGTTTCAAAATGTAGCAATTAAAAAAAATTAATGTAAAGCTAAATTTTTAAAACCAAGTTTCACAGTACCCAAGAACCTTGTTAAAAACACAAAATAAATATGGTATATGCAGCACGTATAAATCTTAACACAGAAGGAAAGCCAACAAAAACATACGCCAATTACAACGACAAAATACAACAATAATCTAATTTAGAACAATTTGAAGTAACCAACAAAGTAAAATATACACTTTATTAAAGGTGTTTAAAGTTACCAGTATCAAAGATAAACACAATAAATAACCAAAACAACCGCAGTTTTATTAATATTTAATACAATAATTTTGTTACATTTTGAATAAATATTGTAAGTATTAAAAAACGTTTTAGCTGTATAACGATTCAAATGACAATAAATCACGAACATGTAATATTAATATGGGTGTGTTTATATGACCATATTGCAATAGTCGTATGGCTTTAATGTAGAACTACATTAAACAACGTATATTTCTATATAAAGTACACTTATAACCGTCTATAGATATAAAATGTGTCCATGGCTCATGTGCTTACCGTGAGTACACGTTTTGTTGATCGATTGCGTGCAAGGGTTGTCTAAATCACACGTGTAGGGACACATAATCAATCTCACACAGAATAACATTACCCACTCACTAACACGCACACGCCCATGTCGAAACACATATACAGATACGCATACACACACATATACTAAACACCCACACACCCACACTCACGCACGCACATCTCAAAACACATATACAAACACGCACGCACACCAAAAAAAAATACACGCACATGCAAACACACGCATATCTCTAAATACGTATAGAGACACCCGTACACAAACACATATACACATGTCGAAACATCATTCACACAAACACACGCACATACACACACGTGTTGACCTACCATCTGCTCTTGTGTGTATGAGCATGTTCAATGTGTGTAGCTATTGATAAGCCACCAATTACAAAGATTACCTTTACCAAAACCAGCTACTTAGCGCAAGTGAATTTAAGCTTCAACAAATTCTCCTCTTCATACCAGAAATATTTAATCAGAAGACTTGTGTCATATACAGTTGAAATTAGTGATATATGATAAAGCAAACTTTACCACATAATATGATTATAATTATAATTATAATCCAGAAATACGCAATCGTTTAGAGAGCCTTGACACACGCTTCCTAATAATAGCTTTAAATCTACTTTATTTATTTATTTTTAAAATATAATTGATTCGTGCATATCTAATTAATAATTACATGGATAAACAAAGTTGTATTATAAATAACTAACAAGAGTTTAAATGATTAATACGTTTTCTTACAAGATTATTTTTTTTCTGTCGAGGACAGTTTGTTTAAACAGTTATATGGGGTAGAGTTAAAAATAACTTAGATGTATGTTACAGACATAAACTTTACCTAAAGTCTGTATTATATTTATATCAGTAGCGTAGCGAGGGGGGGGAGGGGGGGACATATGTCCCCTGGCGCCGACCTTAGGGGGCGCCAAAATGGGTTGAAAAAATAAATTGAAAGGTTGAGGGGGTGCACATCGAAAGTTTGAGGGGGGGGGGGTGCAAATCGAAAAGTTTGTCCCCGGGCGCCGGGAAGGGTCGCTACGCCTCTGATTTACATCACACTTCTATGTTAATGAAGTCAAGTAGTTTAATTTTAATAATAGTTCGAGTATTGTTCTAGAAAAGTGGTTCTTAACCTTTTTAGAGGTACTGAATCCCACCCGTTTCAAATGCGCATTCGCCAAACCCTTCTTAATAGTTCCATAGTCCGCACTGACAAAAACAAATCTTAAATCATATGAGACTGGTGTGTATCTTGATTTCCGCCGAACCCCTGAAACTGACTCACCGAACCCCTGGGATTCGATTGAACCCAAGTTAAGAACTACTGTTCTAGGCTATAGGAATAGTAGAATGGCAGGCTCTTGTTACTATAAGTATATTTGCTTACAATACCAAGCCGGCTGACAAAATGTATCTTGTTTAGTTACTGTGATGGGAAGGACTTCATTTTTAATCAGGAAACTTGTCTAAACTTTCCATAAAAGGATTGAATCAGTTGAGTTGTGTCACATAGTGACATTTTACACTGACATCATGTGACACATGCAACACGTGACATGCGTGGTTTAAACAAATTGAAACACACACACACACAAACACACACACATACCACACACATACACACGAGTGAGCAGTGTACTCGCTAATGTATGAAACATGCAATTAACTCAACAAATCAGAATAGCTCGCCTACACCCCCTTCCCACCCATTAATCCCGTGTTGCAAGTATATTTAATGCCGCTGATGTTACAGTGGGGATTTATTACAGACATCACTAGTTACCTTTCATAGTCTATGGCAGTTGAGCAAGAAAGTGTATCGTGTTCTCTCTAGCAGCAAACGATTTAACAAAGTTTCACTAAACCCTAGAGAATTCATGTTATCCTTTGAAAACTTAGTCATTGTTGTTGTTCTTACTACTCGGTGATGTTGTTGGTAAAAGACGTCACAATTCTACGGTGTGGTAGTTCAAAACAAAATTTACATTTATACACAGGCATTTATGATTATTTTTAAATTATTACTTATTTTTATACATTCTACAAACATGATTTCTTCTTTAAATTCCGTCTTGTGGTGGGTGGGTGTGGGGGGGGGGGGGGGAGAGATGGTTGGGTTGGACGCGCTTCCGATTAACTACCTGTTAAGGGCTCTGTTCAAAACTGTTGCCTTTACGACATTCAAAAGTTTGAGACTGTGAGCTCAAAGCCACACAAACACACCGATGCTCACTGGGGGAATGTTTTCTTTGGAATCCATTGCTGGGGTCCCTCCCCACTCCCCCCCCCCCCCCCCAATCACCACCCG